ATAGCTGTGTACTTATACCCCCGCTAGCCACCACCAGTACTTATCTATCTAGGGTGACGTCGAGCGCTAAGCCAAGTAAAAGCCGATGCGTTCATAGTGCAAACCTTACACGCTTATCTTCGCCTTCGCAACTGGTTCGAGAACGACTTCATCGCAGGTGGTTACAGCTTGATTGCATAACGCTGAAATTGCAGAAATCATTCGACTACCGCTGAGATGTGTTCATGTAGCATGACTGAACTGGCATGGATTTCGGACTCTTTGAATGAAAACCACACGATCTCACCTGAGACAGGAGATTTCCCGGGACCATTTTTATTGCACTCGGCTATCTGCTTCTCACACTTCACAAAGCCCGCAGCCATCTTATCAAGTCTGAGTGGAAGCACGGTATCGATGGAATAACAATGAGGAAGCATTTCAACTCAGCCTTAGGTAGCAGTTTTCGGTCCGTCGCCATCTTCAAGCACCCTTGGTAACTGAGACGACCCTCATCAAACACGCCTGTAGGCACGAAAAACCCACACAGCCTGTGGTGCCACTACTCCAGAAATTATCATCAATCCCGCTAAATCGACTTTGTTTGACGTAGACTTGATTATTCGCGATCCCAGTTCAGCCATCATCGAGGCTGAATGAAGTAGAATACTCTCAAAGACAATGTTATGACCGTCTCGGCCTAGGTGACCTCACCCGATGCCGAGGGGCCAATCAGATGAACGTTGCGGTTGAGATTTTGATGCTGTTTGAAGAATTCGTTGACGAAATCCTCCCTAAATGAGCAGAAGGGCTGTATCGGATGGCCGTCGGCAAGCAGCTCACAAGTTCTGCATCAAATTATCCCATCCGCGCTCCACAGGTCCTATGCTGAACCCCGCAGGTACCGGCGCATCGACATAGATACCATTAGTTTCTCCCGTCCAGGAGAACCTGAGAATGTAGAAACTTTAGATCCCATCGATCCGTTGGCAACGGGCAATTGCCTTCGACTCACGTGTTCGTAACCAGGTGTTTGGAAGTCGGAGACATAAGGCATGGCCCATTCATCTGCAGCGCGGGTGATATGCTGCTTGCACCGGGGCCACCGTTAATGAATAAGAAAGTGGGTGCCGTCGTAGGGTTCCCATCGGCCTGTATGGAAGTGTAGAAGAACCTGCGGCAGGAGTAGTAAGCCAACACAGCACAGTCACTCGTGGCCAAATCCACTTACCTTTGGAGTGGACTGACTTTTATATATCCATACTCCTGTTTACCAGTACCGCTGGGACACAGGACTTTGCCAGTCTTAGAAAGTCCACGTGGGGGGCGTGAGGCACTTTCCGCACCAACGAGAGCTACGATGAGTGATAGGATGAGGACCATAATCAATACTTCTGAGCTACTATTGTACATGAAAATTCACATTCTCATATTCCTTCGGCAGACCCAAACTGCATGTCCCCATCTTCTTATTAATGGAGTTTCATCTGTGATCTGAAAACACTAGTGAATTTTTTCACTGCAAAATATATTTCACGACTGCTGCATCGTGCGAAGCCTTCGCAGCGAAGGGTCTCATTCCTTGCCGAGGTAAATCACGTAGGGTCTCAACCACGGTGACACCTGGAGTCCAGGTTCGGGACAACCAGAGATGTGATCTGCGTGCTAATTGTCCTAGTGTGGACCACACTGTGACACAAATATCAGGAACAGTGACAGCCCAATCAGGGACAGTGATAGTTTCTAGGTTCCATTCGTCGCATCTGTAAACATGGCTATTCGTGGTCACATTCGTGCACTCCGCGAGCCGCCGACACTCTAGGGGGATGATCTCTTATCGCAACAGACCACTCATCCTCTTACTGAACCCCCAAAAGTGGCTTCCTGTTTCTCGTCAAGTTTGGGTACAAAGCAAGCTATTTCTGTGCCATGCGGGTCGAGGCTTTTTCCGAAAAAGCGAAAAGTTTTCGGGCCCGGTTACAGGAAACGATTGGAGCGATCGACGATCAGTGATTGTGCAGCGCGACTCGTGCTAGACCGTTCTGATGCGTCCCGCTTCCCGGGTCATCGCATGTCAAACAAAAAACCCTCGCTCCACAACCTTCGGGGTTGTCAAAACCGTGTTGAGAAGGCTCTCGGCATCGTATCATGTTTGCTGGCAAGCATCTTCCAACTAGCAACACACGCATACTATCAAGGACAACTCCGCGATGCTTACTGGGTGGTGTAGTCCTCCACCTTCCATGCCGCTAGTGCAGCAGCATGGCGGCGCTGTATTTCCTGCTCTACATGGGCTAATTGTAAATCTTCTACCAGAGCGGGCAGGCTGGCGGTGAGGAGATTGCTAATCGGCTTGGCCATCTTAGAGGCAACACGTTACATATCAAGCTCATCAGCCATATCACACATATTGTGCAACCTCGTCACGAGGATTGCTCCGATCCAAGAAGGGATGACACTTACTCTACCCATCACGAGATCAAGCAAGTTCAACAGTCACCTGATGACCTCTCACAGGGGTCAAAGGCCCTCACTGAGATCACCCCAGTTAAGACAATTCTTGCACTGATTCATCCGAGGAAACATTCGACCGTATCCTTCCACACGTCCCCAGAGACAACAGTAGGCTCTGTCGGGGAGAACGAAGTAGGTCAATCCTCAGAACAGGCCGAATCCCCAGTAGTTCTAGGAGGCGTGGTCGGCCCATGAAACCCTTGGGCCGAGCCCCGACCAATAGTCCCAGACAGCGGCAAATTACGTCTCGGGGAAGGCTTCGCAGTACGATACAGTTCACCCAAAAGACCATCCAATAGACCGCTGGACGGGCACGTAGCCTCCACAAAGACAAACGGTGAGTCACCTTCCACAACAACAAATGGCCAACCTTTAGTACGACAGCGTTCAAAGACCATCAAACTGCCACGGCCAGCATGAATACGGCCATCAAACTGCCCCCGAGTGAACGTCGACGCTGAGCTCCGACTGCATGGCATGAGCCAAAGGTTGTAGAGCAGGATGTAGACGGGGAGAACGGAGATGATCCATCAACATACAGGCAGTGGATCCAGTCTTAAACACAGAATGAGAGATCCAAAAATAAGGATAGATACGCCAGGCGAAACCCTTCTCATGAACAGCCTCATTGAACTGACACTCCTTGTGACCGACCTTGCCAACATGCTTGAGCGCTGGCTGCAGACGATTCTCAGCCGGACCATAGGCACGTAGTTTCACAGGCGTCTGACAGCAGTGACAGTAGTTGGTCTCGTCGTGAACATAGACTGTACCACAGAACCTGTGGCCTGTGGCACAGGCCAATAAAATCACAAAGGGGTTTACAGATACTGGACCTAGCCGAGCCCAATCGTCGATGTCGTGACTAGCAGGCGGCACATCGACGATTGGGCTCGTGTAATGAGCACCAGCTGTAACGGAGTTCACCACGACAGTCTCCTCTTCGGGCTGCCAATGAACACACCATCGAGGAGCTCGAACTTCCTCCAACACCCATAGCGTACCACGAGCAAGGAAGCTCCTCATAACCTCTCGTTGGGAAAGAGCGAAGAGCCAAGGTGGATAGTACTCAGGCTGGAGACCAACACTGAGTCCGGGCCAAACCTCTTCAGTCACAATAGCGGTGCCGATCGGAGCGTTATCCTTAGTAACTCGGTCTCTCCAACGACGTCCTCCAACAGGTACAGGCAAATCGTCTTGGCCAACCAGAGCCACGAACTCCTCCCAACGGTCGCTAACACCTCTCACTCTGATCTCATCACGCAAAGAGCTGGTCTCCACGACCGATATAACCAACTCGCAGAGACGGAACATGGAACAGGCTGACGAACAGTAGGATGAAAGCTTTTCTCGGAAAGTACAATTATCATAAAGCATGATACACCGAGTCATGCGAGTACAACAAATCATCATGACATGTCTTATACTGCGAACTCGGTCGACTTAATTACGGCCACTCTTCCTCCTTGGCCGCCGCTTCATCCCTTTGATTCAGTCTTGAGTCGTCCAAGAATCCGAAGAGCTTCGGTCCAGATCCAACTTCGAGGTTCGCCATCTTCAAGTTGCTGCCAGTGCTTCAGGTCCAGTCTTCTCCAACTCCCTCCGTCCTTCAGGTTCTTCTCTCGAGGCTTGACCAACAAGAACTGGATCCAGCATATGGTAGAGTGCCAGGGTAGGTACCGGTAGACATGTCACTGGTCAAGATGCTGAGGGACTCAAAAGCATGAGATCCCCACCTTCTATGCGCAGGTACAACATCCCGGAGGGTAGGCGCAAGAAGGGGCTGACCCATTGGAGAGGTCAGAGCAGTATGCATCAAGGCATCAGTCCCTTGGTCCTCTCTAACCCTAAAGGTTAGCAGAGGATGGAGCTAGGCTCTCTTTTCATTTCTTTTCTGGTGCTCGGGACTTGAGTTCATATAGTAAGAACTCGCACAGTGCTCAAGGCACAGACCACAAACCTCTGGCGTAGGCAAGATCCAGAGGCGGGTCTTAGCGACATTAGAGATCGCAAGGACCAAGTGACAGTACCGGACACCACACCACTGGACCAAGGGGCACGAAGCCCATCACCCGGCTTGATTGTTAGACATCCCGGAGGGTAAAGCCTGCAGT